ATCCAGTTCAGAATCGACTTGATTCTAGGAGCCACCCCAATAGCCAAATCAATGTACCGATTAGCCTTGGCCGAAATGTAGGATTGTCCAGTCAACTAAATGAACTGCTAGGTAAAGGATTCATCATACCAAGCTTCACACCTTGGGGAGCCTCAATACTTTTCATAAAGAAAAAGGATGGATCATTTCATATGTGTATTGACTATCGGGATTTGAACAAACTCACCATCAAAAACGATATCCCCTACCACGAATCGAAAACCTATTCGACCAACTTCAGGGAGTGAGCTACTTCTCAAAAATCGATATGAGGTCGGGGTACCATCAGCTATGAGTCCAGGAGTAAGATATACCTAAAACAACGTTTAGAAATCGCTACGATCACTATGAGTTCATGGTGATACCCATCGGATTGACTAATGCGCTCGCGGTGTTCATGGACCTAATAAACTGTGTATGCCTACCTTACATAGATAAATTCATGATAGTATTCATCGATGACATACTAATCTATTCACGAAGTAAGGAAGAACATAGTCAACACCTACAAGAAGTCTTGGGGACATTAAGGACGTAGAAACTATATGTGAAGTTTTTGAAATGAGAATTCTAGATCCGAAAAGTGGACTTCTTGGGACACGTGGTTAGCAAGGAAGGAATACATGTGGATCCTTTCAAAATCAAACCAATTGAGAATTGGGAAGCACCAAGGTCACCGACAAAAATCCACCAGTTCTTAGGCCTTGTTGGCTACTACAGGAGGTTCATACAAAAATTTTCCAAGATCGCAAAGCCACTCATTACCTTGACTCAGAAAGGAGTGACCTTTAATTGGGTAATTGGGTTGATTGTTTGATGTTTAAACATAATAATTATATTATTGTGGGTTGAAAACCCTATGTACTCACCAAGTTTCCCAACCTGACCCACTCAGTTTATTTATATCACAGGTGTTGATATGAAGTCACATTACACTAAGAGATTAAGGAGATATAAATCACTAGTGATAATGAATGTAGGTTCTGTTTATGCTTATGTTTATGTATTGACAATGACATCCCAAATGTTTTAAAATGAATAAAAAATACTTTTCTTCGGAAATGCTTTGATAACGTATTTATCATGTCTTATTGGGAAAAAATTTCACAACATTTTTATTAAAAGAGGTACTCTGATTTTTATAAAGCATAAACAAAATCGGTTTTTTCTGATCGTAAAATGGGGATGCCGCATGGTACTAGATAATTCTTCAAATGAAAGGTCCCACACTACAACTGTTGGACTCAAACAAGAGCTACATAATAAAGTTAAACCTATCCTTTTAAAATTATCCAATCTCAATAATATGTAACCAAACGCATTCATCCACTGGTTAGTTGGTACTAATAAAATTTCCTAATATCACAAAGCACTCAACATTCGACCAACAAGCAATTCAAGTCAGAACATAACCTAAACATGTCGTCCTATCAAATACCAATCTCATACTAACATGCAAATCTATAAGCTCATACAATATGCACATAAAGGCATCTCTACTAGGGATGTCAACGGGACCAAAAGGGACCGGAAATAGCCTCCCCCGCCCCCACCCCCGAATTCAATTTTTTCCCCGGGTCCCGCCCCCGAATCCCCTGGTATCCTAACCCCCGATCCTACCCCCGAATGCATCCATTGCCCCATGTCCCGCCCCCATTCCCCCGTTTCATGGGCTTAAAAATGGTTTTTTGGGCTTAAAAAACTATTTTCTATAACTATAACACCTTAACATCTAATTACAAATCCAACATAACAAAAACAATAAATCCTATGTTACAAAAACTATAAAATCAACATTACAAATATAAAATACAGAACTATTCAAAACATCTAAGTGACAACTAAAGACATGAAGACATAAATCAAGTTAATAGAGTCGATAAAAAATTGGTAAACTAATAAAATAACTAAGCCAAAATTATATGCTTTAAACTCATGTCTCTAATTAAGAAACAAATTAACTTTGGAACGTAACAATCCATGACCAAGCCAGCACCATCTTCACTTTTTTCACCATATTTTTGCACCATTTTACTCCAAACCAGCACCATTTTCTCCCTGTAATCATGTGTAGCATCATTAGTATAACAAAAAACCAATTGATTCAAATATCATACATATAAAAATATCAAGAATTGAACATGCCTTTTTAACATGATTATAAGTTCAATGTATTCATCTACATTGGATTAAGGAGTAAAAATTATCACACTAAATAAATTGTTAAAAGCCAAGTTCCTCCAAAGTTCATTATTTTTCTTGGCATTAGTAATACATATGTTCATGAAAACCTAGAGTGAAAAAAAAAAGTTCACATAAAAAGCTTTGAAACTCACTTACAGATTCATAAAAGACATAAAATTGCAAGAACCATTTTTCATTTAACAAAATAAAATACGAATCGATTAACAAAGATTATGTGACTTAAAATTTCATATAGAAATTCACAAAACTCAAGAGATGACAAAAGATGAGAAATAAACCCAAATCATTATTAGATCCAAAGATAAAAAGAGTGGACTAGTGAAAGATTTTACCAGTGAAGAAAGACATGGATCAACGTCGTGGATTTGAAATTAGGTTGTCAGCAGGAGGACGACGACAAACGGATTGAAGCAAGCGGCAGAGGGTGACAGTGAGACGATAGAAGCACGATGATCGACAATTACAGAATTCAGTGGGTTGTTCAATTATATAGAGAGGGACGATAGTCAGAGATTGCTAATAGGGTTTGATGAATACGAAGAAATGAAGTGGCAAGTCGGAAGCATGAAGAACTAAAGTTGTGAGTGTGAGCCTGTGAACACTGAAGATGAATTTCTCATTCTCTCTATGTCGGCGACCAAAGGAAATGAGAGAAACAACCCTAAAAATCAGATTATATGTCTATATATATATATATATATATATATATATATATATATATATATATATATATATATATATATATATTATATTATTATATATATATATATATATTATTTATTATATATGCAAATGGGGCCCCGGCAGGAGTACGGGACGGAAATACACACTCCCGACCCCGATCCTGAAAATAAACGGGGTTTAATCTTTCCCCCGCCCCCGCTCCCGCTCCCAAATTTTTAAAAAAATTAGCCTCATACGGTATCGGGGTCCCACTGGAGTTTTGGACATCACTGATCTCTCTTGTCATTCTATCATGCAATTCTAACCAGATCATTAGCCCTAATCTAGCATACAATTCTCATATCATATTGTAAAATATATAACATGTATGTGTATTTTGGGAAGACTTACTTGAGCTCAGATGATTGTACGCATTGAACCCCTTTATTTTATTAAAATCCCTTAATTAAAATATTTATTTTTATGAAAATCTACCAAAGCCTCGATTTGAGTTTAGGCATACCCGAGAGTACGCTCGAATCCCTTAAATCAAGGCTCTAATACCAACTTGTAACATCCTAAAATCTCAAATAAAAATTTTCAGTTTTAATTCATTCCAATCATACAATAATCATGTCAAAACAGTCAAAAGTGTACCATATTAATATAATATCAGAGTACAAATTCCCAAAATCACATGATGTGGAAAACGTGGGCAGATGCAATGTGATTAGGTCAGGCCTTTCCCTTTCGAGCTAGAAGTACCTGAAACATAAATTGAAAACTGTAGCACAAAGCTTAGTGAGCTCCCCCAAAATACCTCATACCATACAAGCATAACAGTCAAACATGTATTGGTATATTTCAATCCTTTTGATTTTTTTCAAATGGTATTGGGTGTATTTCAACCCCTTCAGTCTCTTTCAACCGGTACTAGGTATTTTTCAACCCATTCGATTTCTTTCAACTACTAATGGGTCTATTTCACCCCCTTCAGTCTCTTTCAACCAGGAGTGGGTATATTTCAAGCCCTTCGATCTCTTTCAACCGGTATCAGAACTATTTCACCTCTACAGCTAGCATGCAATCAAAACAGCAAGAGTCACAGAGACATCAAGCATATACAGGCATAACAGGTAATAGTCACGAAGAAAATCATCATTCTACAAACAAAATCTAGTGGGCCGACATTGGTGCCTTCGAACCACGAGTATAATGGAGGAAACTCACCTCCTACTGAAGGTATCAAATCAAACTCGAGCTATTGACTCGTGAAATCCTCTCACTAAGTCATAAGAAAAAAACCCTAATCAAAATCAGAGGACATAACTCAAAGTGGTGTTCAGGGTGATGATGATTTATTTAATGAAGAGGATATTGCTCATACTTTAGATGTTCCACCAAAAACTTCTACATCAACTGGAAAAACTACAACTCCGATGGTATCTACTCCACCATCTTCATCTATTTTGACTCCACCTGAGTCATATGTTTTTTAGCAAGTATTAAATGATCCATTTATTAATCTTTCTCAAACCCTTACACCACCTCCTCCGAATTCTTATCTGATTCAAACCATTTTACCACCTCATCCAAAATCTGTTTCTGAATCGACATCTCAACTATAAAACACTTCACCATTTCAAATTCCGATCTTTACATATTTTATGAAAAATTCTTATGTGTCATAAACTACGACGACCACATAACCTCCACCAGAAGTTCCTACTTTTGAATCTGATAATAAGGAGAATAGGACTTCAAGCATCCTTGAGAACACATCTGGTGTGGACTCAAATGTCAAAATTGTTGTGAACACATCGGAGCCTACATCTACTTCTACTCCTCACACATCTCCACATTTTGATGAGGATTTTCTTATTGGTGATGAACTTGAACTAATTGATGATCTCTTAATTCTTACTTTCAATTTTCAATTTGATAGTGATGATGATGTTGATTTAACTACTCTAATGACTCATTGTGAATATTAGGAGTTAAACAAAAAGTTGGATAGGATTCTTCTACATACCAATTATCTCTCAACAACCAACTAGAAAAACATAGTTATATCTCATCAAACAACTATAGAGATGTTAACACAATCCAATGTAAATACTTTTGAAGCTCTCAAGAAGTTAACTGAAGAGTCAGCTAAGAATGTGTCTGAATTCAACAAGATGATTGAAGGATTCGTTGATCTCTTCAAACCGAGAAGGAGGGTCTTTCAAGTTTGCGATTTGGTCTTAAAAAAGACAGTTTAGCTCATCATACATCTATTTCAAATTCAGTTATGAGGTTGAAAAATGGCCTTACACATGAGAACAAAGTTAGGGATTCACTTGCTGAGTCTACTCAAAAGGCCAAAGTTCTCAAAGAACAGTTGAAAATGCAACTATTCAGCTTAGGAAAATGAATGAAGAAGTTATTTGAGTGAAGGAACATGATTTTGAGATCAATCAGGGTCTTGTTCAAATTGTTAAAAACAAAGATGCTTTGTATTCTGATTACATTTTGCAGCTTATGGATGCGAAGTTGAATCCCATTCTCCCAAAACTTAATAATATTTTCAATGTTATGAGTAACAGAGCTACGGTGCAACAAGGGAGAGATCAATTAGTGAATGAAGAGGAAGTTCCAAAAGGTAATCTGAACAGTTCTTATCAAACTGGCAAAATAGTTAAGATGGCAAATGCTAAAAAGATTGTCCTTGAAAGGAAAACCATGGAAGATAAGTTGAAAACCCTTAAAGAAATGAAGTTTGGATGGAAGGGTAATGTAGCTTCTCGATCAGTAAAAGGAAAAATCAATATTCTTTCATAAGAAGATGTTGATCATAATACAAACTTGTCTGAAAAAGAATTGACGGAACAAGCAAAGCGTAATGAGGAGCTTGATGCTTTGAATGCTTTAATAGTAAAGTTCGATGCTAAAGAAGCTGAAAATAAAATTTTTGAAGAAATTCTTGCTTCTAAGAAGTCCATGTTTCTAGAATGGACTATTGCTCAGATTTAAAAAGGAGCCATTGACAATCCAATTTTTTTTTTGGTTAGAACCTCAAACTTCTTTTTCTATTGAGAATGAAATGGAGTGTCAGTTGGACTTTTTGATTAATGCAAAAGCATTTCAATTTTAATGCTTTGAAAGTATTGTGAAGGTTCTTATTTCAAATTTATGCATAAACAAGAAGTTGTTCAAATTGTATGTGAAATACTCAAAGCCACAATATAAGTCTTGGAGTTTGAAAAGGATAATAGGGTTGAAAGTTGGAAAACCTTTTGATGCTTATGGTTTTGCAAATATCATCTTTAAAGCCTTCAGAGGTCATAATCATGAAGCCTATGAATTTACCTTGGCAAATACTCCTTTTATAAATCCATACAATTGGATTCCTTTGCTTAGGAATGGCAATGGGGCGGGTTCGGGGCGGGGCTTGGATTCTCAAACCCGCCCCGATAACTTTCGGGTATCTTATCGGGGCGCCCCATTGGGTTTCGGGTTTCCCCATCGGGTTTCGGGTATCTTATCGGGTTTACAACAACTGATAACGAAATCTTTATTCTCTTTTAGGGTACCCTAATGTCTTATAAAATATACATGTTCTAGCAACTCTTTTAAATTAAAAACATGATGCATCACTTTAATAAAATAAACTGGACGTTATATAAAAAATTATTTGATTTAAGTTTTGTTTAATACGTCAAAACACATAAAAATGATCATTAACACCAGATTGTTAATAACTAAAAAAATTGTCCACGATAAGTATTTTATATTTGAACGTGTACAATTAACAGCAAAATTTTTTGAACATATATATATATATATATATATATATATATATATATATATATATATATATATAATCGGGCCGGGGCGGGTCGGGGCGAGGATAACCCACTCCCTGCCCCGAACCCGATAAAAAACCCGATAACGACCCGTTACCCGACCCGAAATGATCGGGTTTCGGGTTTCCCCATCGGGTTCGGGTTTTTTTGCCATCCATACCTTTGCTCAATATTGTTTCCAAGGACACTTTGAAATACGAACCAATTTATCGACATTTGAGAAGGATGGTATGGGCATACATTCTTGAAGTTTTAGACATGGATGTTGAGATCCTTGTTGTTCTCAAAAGAAAGCCAATTCTGAAACCCTTTCCACCACTTGATGATTTGGATAAAACCAAAGTTGGTTCTATTGAAAAATAACATTGGGGAGTAGTATATAAGACCAAGGAGAATGAGAATATGAAGAATTGCATGTTGTTCTTACGAGATAAGCATTTGTATTATATTGCTTCATTGAATCGAATTCTTGCAAGAGATGTGGCATGCAAGTCAAATAGTGAAGCAGATTTGAAATGTGTTTCAGATTTGCTTAAGTGGTGGATGGTTGTTCGAGTGAATTTATTGAAGACTATTCCAAAAGCTTTTGAAGTTGCAGAGAAAGAGAAAGTAAAGACTACAACAACAACTTGACACAAAGGGGGAGATTGTTAAGGTTTGGAGTTTGTGTTGTGTCAATGTTGTATGCACCTATTCGCAATTGTATGTCTTGTATAGAGTCTTTACCTATTCCAAAATGTTATGTTCCAATTTTGGAATTTATGTATTCTTAGGTTTTTAGTTTTGAACTGTCGACTTAAGATTCTTTTCTAGTGCTTCTCGTTTGCCTATATATAAGAGCATTAGTTAGATAGAATGGGAATCTTTTGACAGAATAATTTTGCATAATCCTTTGTAACGAATTGTTCTTTTACCCATTAATGCAAATCATATCTTATTTACCTTTTTTTTGTTCCTCTCAATTTATATGTTCTTCTTATGATGTTTTCATTTTAGAATCTATCATTCCCAAATTCTTATAATATCGATGTCTTGTATCCATCCAATATATTGTAGAAAGAAGGAATAATTGGTCAATTATCTTAGGGTCGGCATGTGATATGATTCAGAGTTCTACAATGGCTTTAGAAAGCACACTTTGCTAGTTATTCGAAGTCTATAATTGCAATTGTAGCCAGTGACATATCTAAGTGTGAGACTATTGGATTAAGTGTCTAATGTCGTAACTAAACTGGTATAACTTTATAGAATAAAGAATAGTCCTTTTTGGATTGTCCTCAATAACTAGAAATAGCTAGAAATAATTTTAGGAGAGTGAGGAAATGGTTTGTTGATTTATTATATGATTAATAAATTATTTAGAAATAGTTTATAATTAATTGGAAATTAATTTTGGATTAATTAAAATTAATAAAATGTGTAAATTATAAATTGCAATTGTCTAATTGTTGAGCAAGAGAGACAATTCTAGAACCTCCCTATGGTGGATGGTTTATGAAGGGTTCCAGAAGGGTTCTAGAAGCATCCTATAGTTGTTAAGGATAATTGTCTTGAATAGATTAAATCTTATTATTTAATTATTCAAATTAGGGTTTATCCTGGAGATATTCTAGAAGCGTTCTGGAAGCATCCTATAGCTGATAAGGATAACCACCTTGAATAGATTAAATCTTATTATTTAATTATTCAAATTAGGGTTTATCTTGGAGATCCACCAGCTATAAATAGGGACCCCTAGCATGCCAAAACCGATCCCTAGCCTTCACAAGCCAGAAATCATATTTTCTCTCCATCCTCATATCTCCTATTTCATTCCTAGGGTTTCTAGGGTCTTAGGTGTGAACCATTAGAGACATTCACATTACTAGAGCTTACTTTCCAAGGAAGGATTGGAGATTCAAGGTTGTTATATTCGATTATAGCAAAGGGTATGTGTTTCTAATTAAGTTGATTTTCGAAATTAGTAGATTAGATCTTTACATTCATAATATGTTGCTATATTGTGAAAATGCCATAATCTCTAGGTTGCATGTACCCATAAGTAGTTTTGTGATTCCCCTTCGTAGATCTATTTTTTTGTAACCTAGAAAACCCATCAATTTCAACCATAAAAACCAAATGCATAACCATTACAGAATCGAACAAGAGCTTATATGGTTAAAGAACTTTCTATTGGAGTTAGGTATGAAGCATGAAGACTGCATTATTCATTATCACAATCATATTGCATTTCATCTTGCGAAGAATTTAGTGTTTCATAGTAGGAATAAACACATCTATATGAGACACTACTTCATTAAAGAGCTAATTAGTAATGGTGCATCGTTCTTGCGGATAATCATTGGTATAAAGAATCAAACATATATGTTTACCAAGATGATAACATAGAAGTTAATAATAGGATCACCTTCAACTGTACTCGTAGATAATTAATGAGAAGGTTGCGATAGAGAAATGAAGTTACACATTTTTTAAAATTTACGAGATGTATACACCATAGAACACATTTGATTTATTGTTGACCCTCCAAGTTAAGATTGTTGAGTTTGTTAAGACAATTGTTTTTAGCAGTATCATGTCCTACATTGGCCTTGGGATAAACAGTTAGTACCAAATCTTGATCTCATATCGATATTGTACCGGAACCGATACCGAACCATATCAAATTTAACATATGAGACGGTACTCGGTACTTTAAAATCATAAAATTCGGGATTCGGTACCGATGTTATTACCGAAAACCGGTACCATTCCCGGTACAAGTATCGATAATTTCAATTGGGTTCGGTACTCAAGATTGGTTTAGAACAAATTGGTTTTTGGGAACGGTGTCGGTTCCATCTCACGCTCATCCCTACATTGGTTAGACGTGCTTCCATTCGTCTCCTTCCTTACTGTAACACAATTACCTATATGCAATTGTGTTTTTTTTTTTTTCTTTTTTCTTATAAATGTATGTTTCTTGTCCGAACAAGTAACATTAATTCCAATACAAAACATCAACTTCATTACATTTTTTAAATAAGACTACATATACCATAGGGACTTGAGTTTTAATTTAAAATCCAGCAAATAATTTTATAAGTCATTTATTTTAGGTACATAGCAAAACATCAATAGCTATCAAACTAACAACAAATAAAACATACGTTTACATTGAATGATTCAAGGTTACAATAGATGTCGACAAAATAAATTAAAATAAGACAAAAAAAATATAATATGTAATTTATTTATATAAAAAATGCATGAAGTGCGAAAAAGGTTATTATTAATAAGCTTGTGGAAGAAGTGAGGTATAATTTGTTTATGTGCTTAGCTGTAAACGAGTCTAATTGCAAATGGACCACCGTCACTCACACACTACAGCTCACCACTTGAGTGTGACCCAGAAACCATACCCTGTTCCGCTGCTCCACTCAATCCCACCCTCACCCATCTTCCTTCATTCTAGCAGAAACATACCCAGTTAAAAGAAAATAATATTAATTAATTAAATAAAATGTATGAAATTGAGGTAGAAAATAAAAAATAAAAAAAAAACAAAATAACCCTTTTCCAGAGCTAAGAAGGCTAGATGTAGACTATTATACAAGATATGATGGAAAAAGTACATGCTCTCAGTGGAATGTCGATCTGGAATTTACAATGATGGATCTGAAAAAATGAAGAATAATTAAAATAGATTTTTTTTTTTTTTTTTTTAATTGAATGTGGTAAGAAGGCAGAGCCTTTAGGCTTTTGGGAGTGAAAATGGCGAGGAGTGAGGACCCACCACCCACCAGAAATTGAGCTTTGTGTTTTGAATTTTATGGTCACTCATTTATAGAGTTGAAAAATGGAACCCTACTAACTTTTACTATTTTTGGAAAATTTATCTTTTGCAAATTATTTTAGAGTAAGTTACACTTTTATCTCATTAGTTTGCATATTTTTATAGGTGAGATATATATTTTTATAGGTGAGATATGAGACATGATCCTAACCATTTACCATTTATTTTGAAGATAAAAAAATAAAAGAAAATGTAAAATGAAAAATAAAATGAAAAATCCGAATTTTTTTTAATATTATTTTCGTTATTTAATTTATCCAAAAAATTAAAAAATAAATAAAAATAAAAAATTACAGTTTTTTTTTTCGAAATATACGTGAAATATTCTAATA